AGATAAAAGCTCTTAGCAACTGTAAATACCATATACAGTATAAACCAGCCACTCAGAAAACCCAGTTTTACTTAAGCAAGCACAATCACATTTTCTTGAGAATATGATTTTACACTGTATTTGCATTGTAAACCTGCTGTTTAACAACTTCTTGATATTGTTTTTAGTTATTTTAACAAATTCCTCTAATAAGATATAAGGTTTACAGTCCCATACAGTCAAATAACTCAATTTACAGCATTACACAACAGCCCTTAAGTGTTTCAGGGCCGTTAAATATTCCATATGCCTACAGAGCCCCTAATTTTTATTAAATGATACATTTGCATTCCTTTTCCACTCAGTCCCGTGATTCACAATCTAAACTTCATCGAAAAGCATTTAAATAAACACCAAATACGGTACGGCAGTGAACTCACAGACCCCTCTGGCTTATGCATGACTGCCTTTCCCAGCAGCTGACTCCCCCTATTGGCTGAGTACTGTAACTGCAGGCTTCCAGTACCTGCGCAGTTATAGGCACTGCAGACTGTAGAGAGAGCCGAACGCTGCTGTTTATCAGCGGGACACTGAGGACGGGGACAACCTGGGCTCAGATACTCTCGAGAGGTACACACACTTCACTTGAGCTTAACTCTGCCAGGCTGAAACAACAGGGACTGTTGACTGCTTCTTAGAGTCAGGGACAAAGCCTGGGGATTTGGGTTTTTGTTTGATGGATGTGTGTGTCTGGACGCATGTATGTGTGCACTGGCACACAACCTACTTGCGAGTGGAGGAGGCTGCACTCATGAATGACGGCTGTATGAGAGTGTGTGTGTGTGTGTCCGTTTAATGCTGCGTGAATGCTGAGGGTGGCATAGTTGGGTTTTACAGCGGAGTGATGCATTAGGCAAACAAGCGCTTGCTCATTAATAGAGACAAAACCACAGTGTCAGAGCTGTTGGGATGAATTGAAAATAATGGGTCGCGGGAAATGAAACCGTGGCGCATGATAAATAGCTGTGAGTGAAGTCGAGGGGTGCTTGGGCACTAGATTAATGCTGTTCAGATGGGATCCAGCATACATCTGGGGACTGAAGAGCACTGACTGACTGACTTTTGGACTTGTTTGTGTTCATGTGTGAGCTTCTGCCGGTCTCACAGTGGGAAACATCAGCAAGTTCTCCCCCTGAAATAACGGGACGGGAAACTGTTTAACCTTGGCTCGATGCACTTCCCTCCATGAAACTATCAGATTGAAAGACTGCTTTACAACCAGTTTCCTTCTGCCATAACAGTCGCTTATTTACAGCTGCAGACCGGCCCGTATCCCCCTCCCTTGTGCCTGAGTGTTAATGGCAGCATTGATTAAAGCATTTACAGTGTGCTGCTGCTGGTTATCATGTGCATAGGAGATTCCAACTTCTCCTCGATTGCCTATGCTGATAGAACTGTTAATGGTGGTTTTCAATCTGTTTCTAAGAAAGTAAATGACTGTGGTAATGGTCCTCTCAGGGAGATTTCATCTGATCCACTTCTATCCTCATTAATAGGACGCAGGGAGATTCCTTTAGTCTTATTTTAAATTAGAACCTCCTCTTACTGTACCTGTCAGCTTTTTGTTGTTATTAATTTTCTGTTCTTTTTGCTAATTTTTTAAGCACCAATCTAAAGCTGAAGTGTGCCGTTAAAATACATACTCTTATCCCAGCTTAATATACAGAGACAACTGTGAGTAAACCAATTTCCCCGGAGAGTGAAAACACTGTCTCTGTGGGGTTTTCAAAACATTGCTTTGTTTGTTTTGCATCCTGACCAGCTCTGCACAGCAACATTAGCTCAGCCAATAGGGTTTGGGGAATGGCTTTTTGTTTGGCCAATAGTAGGAGTTTTGGGAAACCTGTTTGAGAACAGGTGGCTTAGAATTTAAGCAGCTTTTCAGCAATGTTTCACATATATAATTTTGACAGATGTTAGCATAATTTCAACCCTAGATTATGAACCCCAGCTTTAATAGTCCCAAAGCTACACTATATAGAGTGAAGGGTTTTAGGGGAAAAAGGTAGCCTGGATGCCAGCCCGAACCGCGCCCACAACATTTTAAAAATGCTCATTAATTATGATCAGTCAAAAAATGACCGGGCCAATCAAATTGCCAGGGCGGGCTTTATACGATGATGGACTGATGATCTGCAGGGACGTAATCATTACGTTATCAAAGAGCGCTTAACTGGTTTCCCTCTAAAGATGACTGCAGCTGGTGAATTGATGTATAGATTCCGCTGTCGCGTCTGTTGTAAAATAAATCGACAGCGCATTGATTTTAATAGACGAACAGAAAACCGCAATCAAGGCATTTGTCGATCGGAAAGATATTTTTGCCGTCCTTTCTACATGATTCGGCAAAAGCTTAACGGTCGCTAAGAAGATGGGACGTAATGAAAAGCCTGTGGTCGTTTGTGGTTTCTCCTTGGGTCACACTCATAAAAGAAGGACCAAGTAAAAGAAGCAACACTCGTTATTTTACTTCTAAAATAAGTAAGTTCTGTAGTTGACAACTGTGCTATGCAAAGTAGTTGACTTACTGCGTTGCTCTGATTGGTTGTACCGACTATCCAATTGAGTGCAGAGTGTTTTTTTTTCTTCCTGGTTCGGTTAAGACACGCCTCATAATCAAAGCCCTATGGTGCAGTATCAGACTCACATTCTGACTAGAATATGAGTATGACGAAGTCAGGCTAGGAAAAAGGGAAAAGTGTTGAACAATCAACAACCAAAAGTCAAGTTTTTTGGTTGTTATCTTGTTCCAGTTGGGCAATGCAGCCCAATCCTGTTCCTGGAGATCCTCACTACCTGTAGAGTTCAGTTCCAACCCTGATTCAACACACGTGTCTGTATTTATCAAGTGCTCCTAAAGATCTCAATAAGCTGGATCAGTTGTGTTTGATAAGGGTTGGAGATTAATTACAATTAGATTCAACAGAACAATTAGATATCCAGGGCTCAGTTGCACCAGCTATGCGTAAGTTACAACTTAGCCTACAACCGCTAAAAAAAACAAAGTTACAACCGCTTTTTCTCTATCTCGTTATGTTCTCTCGTCTTGCTTTCTCATACCATGTCTCTCTCTGCTTTCTTTGTTGATCTTTGGGTGCTGGAGGCAATAAGAGGATGACAGAATTTTCTTTCCTTCCTTTCAAAGGTCCAGATGGACAATTTCTGCCATTCGAGCCCATGAACAACTGTGGCCCTTAGTGCAATCAGGGATTCTCTCTTATACTCCCCTTTTTCTGACCTTTCAACCACTGCATCAATTTATCTCACCAACTCAGGTTAAGCCACAGATATCTATCTTCCTCCTACATCCTGGACCACTAGGATGAACTAAAACATCAATATTGATGCCAAACCAAAGCAGAAATCACCTGGCTTACTACTGTAGATGCTGCGTAAATGTGTAAATTCTTTGCTTTTTTCTCTGGCATGACTAGAGGTGTTGGCATGTGCGGTAGTGTAGCTCTTTGTTTACTCAACTCTCGGAGGTGACTGTGGTTTGGAGTGGTGAGCTTTTGCATTGTGTTGTGTTTAAGTAGGATGGTGAGTAAAGTGTTCTTCATCACCCTGTTCCCGTTAATGACTCCTCTTCATATGCTGAAACCACAACAGACGAAACCTTTGAACTGTGGCATCTTTGAGTGGAATGCTCCCTTTTGCCTGGCAAAGACAGAAATGTTTAATTGGTTACTGTGTTTGAGGTGGCGAGAGTGTGTGGCTGATGTTTTTTTTTTAATTTTGTGAGGCATTATAATATGGTCTAAAATGAAACGTGAATGTGTGTGAATGAAAATTCCTTTGAAATTTTACTGGGTTCGTGGGAGTAAATGACTTTTACCACTTGAAATAGCTTTCAGTGCGTCATTCATAACTTAAACGTGAAGCATGGCGCAGATTATGGGGGTGTGGGGAGGTCTGACCACCCAAATTAAGGCTCAAACTGTCTAAAGGAAGCCAAAACGAAAGGTTTATAGCAACAGTAGGATGTTTGACCATTTTCTGCTAGGAAAATTGAAAAAACAGATAAGAGACAGAACTGAGCTTAAAAAGTTTGACCTATTTGATAGTCACTGTATAATTCACATACTGACATGAAACATTACAAACAAAAGCTCCATACAGGCAACTCTAGGATGTGAGCTCTAAAGAGTGTACCTTGCCACTGGAGTGCTTTCACTTAGGTAGGAAATGGAAAACCGCTTGCCTTTTGTGCAATGATATGTAATCCTAAGATCACAACGAACGAGCAGAGCTCTAAGATTTGCGACATGAGCATTTTTAGGGGCCCTAGAACTGACCCCTGAGGAACACCATTTCCAAGGAACTTTTAGACATATTACTGAGTCACTAGGGGGATGCATTTGCTCGAACAGACCCGGTATATTAAGCAATAAATAAGGACTTTCTATTTAGTGTTCCCTGTATGCAGTTTTAACTTTTTTTTCTGTTTCACTACTGGCACTTTTCTAAAACTGTTATGTAAAAACGTTCATGAACCAGGACTTAATTTAAAAGACTTTAATGATGGTTTTTGAGCTCAAGATGGGACGACACCAGCCTTTAGAGAAGTTAATTTGTTTTAAGTAGCTACCCATTATCTGTGTAATCCACATCTGATTAAACAGATCAGCTGTGTCACAGTGTCATGCTAGCGGTGGATTTTATCTAGTAGAAAATCCAGATAAGCTCTTACAAATGCTGAAGCTTCATTGATAGTTTTGATTCATTTGAACTCAACTTGTCCATACTAAAGATGGTTGTGTTTTTCTCATTCTCTATCTCTCATATTATGTGGTTCAGGTCAGTGTTGAGTGAATCGTCCATCAATCAAACCACAAACATGTTTTACCTGCTTAGGTCCTCTTGGATATAAATCTTCATCAATCTGTATTATCTGTCTATGAGTTGTTTTTTTCTTTTTTTTTTCTTTCTTAATTAACAAAAACAATTCTTATTCCATATAGATCTACACTGATTGGGCGAACCATTATTTGGCCAAGTCCGGTTGTCCGCGGCTTATTAAGGACCTGACTCAGGACATACCCGATGGAGTTCTGCTGGCAGAAATCATCCAGATAATAGGTGAGTGCACAGACACACATACACACAGTGCAAGCTAATAAATCTTCACAGTTCATTTGAGTGATACAATTATTTGTGTAAAACATAACTACTTAAAGCGTTTTTAAGTTATTCTGCTCACGTTAAACTGGATTAGAAGCCGTAGAAAATCAGCAACAAGAGAATTGAATTCTATTTCTGCACTATTAAAGCATGTGTCTCCCATGTGTTCACTTTAGTGAGCCCAGAGTGGTTTGCGTTGTGTGCATGTGTGTCAGTCTGTCTTTTTTATTTTTCCTTCTTTCTTCGCCATCCCATTTTCCCCTCCTCTGGGCTGTCCTGAAGCGTTATTATGAACCTCCAGCATACAATGGCAGATCTAATGTCACAAACTCGCAACCAACAGCTGATGAATTAACGGCCGTTTATTTTCTCAGCATTTTCTCCCACACTGCGAGCATACATATGCCCATTCAATCACAAATTCTCACAAACTGCAATGGCAAACTTTCTTGCCTCATGACGGTGACCCGTGGATGGAAAGGCCAGAGGTTATGGGATGCTTTTTTGTTGTGCTGCAGAGGTTTAACCCAGCAATATCTCTTTTGCAGCTAATGAAAAGGTAGAAGATATTAACATCTGCCCCAAGACTCACTCTCAAATGGTAAGTGTCTTTTTTCATCTATAATGCTTTAAAATACATTGCTTCATTGGTTAAATTAGTCAATTTGGGATTATGCAATGTAAATAGAGTAATAGCATGATGATTGTTCTCTCCATCATTGGTTTTCATTTTATACATATTAAGGTTTTTTTTACATTAGCAGCTATAACTATAGCTAAGAGCTTTTCATCAGAAATTTAAAATACTTAAACATAAATTGTATGTACGAATAAGTTTAAACAATTAAATGAAATGAAACTGATAGTGAAGGAAAAAAGTGTCCAATATTACATGCAAACTTCTGTAGGCTTTTTATAAAGTTGGTCGAGAGAATGCTTTAAAAATGTTGAAGTCTTCATGAAATTCACATACTTTTCTGTTATGTTATTATATAGTTCATAACTATTATAACATAACTATATACTGTATATAGACATAGCTATATATTATTATAAAATGTGTGAGCAAATTTTGTTATGTATTTATTTTTTGTCACAATAGTATTATATAGCTATTTTGTCATTGCATTTCTATGTTAAACAGCGCATGTCACTGTAAAATAAACTAGTCTCATAAAATTGCTTCTTTCACAAAATCATGGTCGACTAAATGATAATGTTTTTGCTGAGGATTGTGCAAACTCATGATTCTTCTATTTTGTTATACATGTAAGTAAGATCCTCTATGCTTATGTTGTTTCTGCTGTGACACATTGCAGTGATTAAACTCTTGCTAAGCTGTAATACAGTAAAGGCTTTAGTGGCCTCACAGGTCTTTTCTGCAGTAGAATGGACCGACTGGGCGCTGGGCTATAACTCTCTGCATGTCAATGAGTGTAGCAGAGAATGCTAGGATAGTTGCTGTGGACTTTTCCTTACAACTCCCATGTAGGTATGCTTGTCAGATTGGAAGAGCACAAAGACTGCAGTAAAATGTTTAGTTTTAAGGTTCAAGGCTGACTGTTTTGGGGAGTTGTAGGAGGTGTCATTCAATGGCCATGGATCTTGCACCTGAGGCCAGCATGTGTGTGCACACGTATGTAGAGATTTTACTCTGATGAAGCGTGCCTTTTTATAAAACTGTTTACAGGAAGTTGAGGTTATAGAGGAATCTGACATACACATACTGTATCACAGCCAAGCTTCACAAGAGTAACCTATCAGCACATTGTTGCGGATTACCGGGAGACTTGTCTGTGATTGCGAAGGTTTTTGTCAGTGTTTGATTGATAGGAACAGGTTATTGTGCTAAAACAGCATGCCTTGTTGATAAATGAGATGCTGGTGTACAGGGTTCTTAACTAGTTTAAAGGAGAAGTGAATGATGAAAATGAAAATGTTGTTTTTGTCTATGCAGTTGGCCATATGTCAGTAACATCAAACCTCATTGGTGCTTATCACAATGTTAAAGGAGAACTTTAACATTGAGCTCTTTTTTGTACATTTGGAGTGCTGTCAGTACAGAAAAAAAACACAAAAATTGGTGTTGCCTACACAGTGCTATCCTCTTTTTAAAATTCGCACCCTGTTGACTTCAATGGGGCATGTTCTAAACCTGCTTTTAGCCTCTTAAAATCCTTGATTTGTCATTACGAGTGCACAGCCATGTGAGTGGTGTTATTAAGAGTGACCACGGTCAATCTAACTTCAGTAGATGTGAAAGATATTAATAAAAATGATGTTAATTCAGCCAGCTGACATACCTGTATTTACTTCTTGTTTTCATTTGAAGTCCAAAGTAGTCGATTGTCGAGTTCGCGCGCACGATCATTGTTCACTGTCGTTTTTGTCTGTACTGACAGCACTCCAAATGTACAAAAAAATGATCTCAATGTTAAAATTAACCGGAGTTCTCCTTGAAGTCATGTGAGATGCATACATTCAAAGTAATCAGAAGGCTGATCAAACCACTGGAGTTTTATTACTTTTTCCTTTTTGAAGTTTACAAATTTTGCGCACAATTAGCTGGTTTTTCCCAAGTTTTTTTTTTTCTTAATTCTGTCACCTGATGGAGTTTTGGTTCCTTGCCACTGTCACCTTTGTCTTTTGGGTTGCTTAGTTGGGGACTTAATATTTAACAATATTATTGATCTTCCTACTTTGACCCCATTATATGAGAGCTGAACTGAGCTGGACGATAACATCACTGTTTTCTCAAGAGTGACTATAAAAATTAACTAAATTTATAACTTTTTTACAACAAAAGTGAATCATCACTGAACAGCAGCTGGACTATGACACTATTTTGTTCAACGTGGTGGAACATCAAATTTGCAACAATATGATTTAGGGAAAAAGTTGTGACTAGCTAGTTGATTTCTTCAAGGATGCACTGTTTTATGATATATGCAGTGAGTATACTAGCATTTCTTGCTGGTTGACCATCAACAATCCATGCTGGTTTAAGATGGTCTTTTCTGGGAGTTGTGTAGGACAGGGTCATTTATATGTGTTAAATGAGAGGATAAGAAATATCCTGCCCTCAGCCTGGTTAATGCTTTCAGAAATAAGTCAGGAAGCGAATCTATTGTGCCCCTTTTCCTGTATTTGTTACTGTGTGGCAGTTAATATTAAATAGTAAATCCTGTCAAGCCTCATCGCTCAGGGAGTCGGCAATCTGCCATTGAGGAATAATCAATTATATCCATCATTCAGAAAGGAAATTCCTTATCGATTAGGATTAGAAAGCCCTCCATGCATTTTCCGCTGTGAACCAATAAAACTTTACAACTTGGGCATTAGAAAAAAAACTCCGCTTGTTCGTGTCCATTAAAAGCACCTGTTAAAAGTGACTCAGCTTCAGTTAAATGAGTGTACTGTTGGGTGCTTTCCCAGGCAGTGAAGATGGTTGCTAAATTACATGCGTAATAAACTCTCTCTCATTGATCTGATTGGTCTCTCGGGGCTTAATTAAACTGGCATGAAGAGAGGCAGATAAATCGCCGCCTACAGGCTGTCTGTTCACTGACCCTTATGGAAACGTTAGTTTTTAAACCGCAATTGCACAAGAAGCTAAAAAGGTAGGTCCCACTTTTCCCATAAGGAATGGCTACGATCCCAAGGCTGGTATTCGTATTAGTCTGGAATTCTGAACATGTTGGTAAACCAAATGAGCCCTCTGTGCCATTCGCAGCGTAGTCAGTGCGAGACAGCTATTTTAGGAGGTTATGCATTAGAATGGGAGTTTCCCAGTACACAAGCGTGTCACAGATTAGCAGATTCAGGGATTGCAACATTTGAAGCCATCTCCGAAGCATGTACACAAACTATTTTGAACAAACAGATCCCGAAGATCATTAGAGGCAACATATTGGAATATTCAAAATTTAAAATGTAATTTGCAGTTTGCGATCTCATTCAGTAAACATTAAGATCACTGTGGAGACTATTGGCTTAGTGGATGTTTTGTGGCTGATGGCTGCTTCATCAAATCCCTGTTTGCACCTCTTTCCTCTCCTATCAGGCATTGGTGGGACAAATTCAGTCTGACAGTGTTGTCTCGTCACTAAAACTGGAAACCACAGGAACTTTGCATGCAGCGCCTTTGAACACAACCAGATGCCCTCCAGCTCAGAAAAAGACAGAAAGAAATCCAAACAGTGCCATAAAAAGCCATTCAACTGAAAGAAAGGTGTCGCAATACTAATGTATATAATTACAAATTCCGATAAACCATATTGCGCTTCAAAAGGCTACAGATGACTAGGCACACAATTGGACTGCAATTCCCAGAATGCACCACATAAATTTCATGTCTGTCTACTCTATACACATATGAGTTGCTGTCAGTGTCTCTTGCAGGTTTGATTTTGTGGGCGTCAGGAGAGGCTGACTGATTGGTTACCCCTCCAGGTCTTGTGGGAGGACCAGTGCTGTTAAGTGTGTTAGGGCTTGTAAAGTGGCTGCATCATCTGGGCTCCATCTGTTAGCTGACAGCTGAGAGATTCGCTCTACATCAGCATATCCCTCTGATGGCACACCGCATTCACCTTTATATGATTAATACAGCATCTACCCAACTGGTCATTAGAGAGACCTCAGATGCTCTGCAGGTTTACCCTTCTGGATGTCAGCTCCTCCACATGTCAGGATCAATGAACCATTGATTGAATTTGAGGATGGACTTTGGGTTCTTATAGGGTCTGTTTGGTTAGTTTGAAAATGAGTTTGTCAAGAGGATGGACTGTGTGACTTAATCGAGTTAGTTAGTTAGTGGTTAGTTAGTTAGTGAGTTAGTTCCTCGAGAATAAGCTTTGGAAATGTATTGCGTTAGTTTGGTTAGTTATTACTGTAAGTTAATTCATCAAAAGAATGGGCTTTTGGTGTTGATTTGGTTTGTTTTGTTAGAATGTTCATCGTGAAGCATGGCAATGGGTCTTGATTGACTTAGTTTTGTTGTTTAGTGAGTTATAGTAGTTCATTGAAAGGATCTTTATTGAGTTTGTTTTAGAACTGTATTGTGTTAGTTTGGTTAGTTAGTAAGTTAGTTTATCAAAATAATGGACTTATGATGTTGATTTTTTTTTAGTTTGGTTAGTATGTTATTTCATTGAGAAACATGACATTGGGTCTTAATTGACTTGGTTTTGTTATTTAGTTGGTGAATGATTAAGATGGTTTTTATTAATTCAGTTTGGGTAGTGAGTTGGTTTATTTAGAGGCTGGAAATTGGGTCTTAGATTGAGTTAGTTTGGTTAGTGAATTTACTGTTACTAAGTAATGTTCTCTTAGCAGAACATGTTTGCATCTAATCGTTCAGCTGACACTTTTTTATGTATAGTAACTCACAAATTAGTATTATTTTATATTTGAAATGGGTATATATGTCTCTTTTGTTTTTCTTGTTTAATAGCATACTGTAGCATTATTATTTTTGGACCATTTAGAAAAAATAGCTTAAGATGGACATTTTTTTTTTCTGCAGACTTGTTTTTTGTGTCTTACAGGTGGTTAAATATCAGTCATTCAGGTCAACTCTCACTCTCTTTCACTGCTTAGCCA